AACTTTAGTTTAAGCATTAGACTTCGTATCATTTTCTTTTGTATAGAACTGCATAACACGCGTGCCAATTTTTACTTTTCCCAAACTCTTGTTTAAATCTGTTTGCACTAACTATTCATTTTTTTTCGCATTTTCTCTTCCATTTTTCAGACTTACGTTCAGCACCAGATTGAAAATGAATTTGATACTCTCTACCAACTGATTGTCGAAGAGCGGGCACACATTTACGTTTGCGGTGATGTCACAATGGCTGAGGATGTCTGTGGGACAATTAGGTGAGTGGATGACGCAAATTGTCGCAATGAATGTGGTGAATTTGACATTCATTGCCGGTAAGCACTGTCGTTGTGGGTGTTAACCTTCTGGCGGTGATTAATGGTTTCTTAGCCACAAGGTTGATATTAAATAGAAGGCAATTTGTTACCTTTGAGTGGTTGAGAAAATTAGCAAAAAAAAAAACAGTATGAATATGAATGAAGGTGTTGCAGCTGCTAAAAAAGGTGTAGAAAATATATAGCCAAGATATTTATTTATGAATCTAAGAGAATGAAAAGCATATTTTTCGATTCAGAGTGAATCTAAGAATCCCTGCAGTGAAAGCAGAGACTGTGAGAAAACATACTAATAGAACAACTGATAAAAATCGAATAGTCGATAGCGATATATAGACTTACTTACATATTTTCCATACTAAACTGGTTGTTCCACAATTTTCATACATATTTAGTCGCGAAGATTAGTGTACTTAGTTTGAATAATTTCTTACGAATAGGTTCTATTTCTATTTCTAGTTTACTCTTGTGACAGTGGCAGAAACTGCTTTGAGAAACATGTTTCACCTTATAGTTACTATTTCTTACCTACATACTGCATACATACCATTTATATCTCGACATCCATTCATTTCTGTTTTTATTTTCTTGCTTGCATTTCTCGGTTTGTCGTTGCTTTGACAGGAAGTGTATTGCTGCAAAGGAACAAAAAACTGAAGCGGAAGTGGAGGCGTTCTTGCTAGCATTACGAGTAAGTACACTTAGAAAGACTGCATACATACTACATTCGTGCCTACATAGTAAGAATATGTTTGCGAGCGCATACTGGTAAGAAAAGGACAACTGTTTTTGCACCTACGGCATTGGAGCAAAGTTGAGGTTATAATTAGCATTTATGTCATTTTTGAAGGCAAAAATTGTATTCGTGGATTTTTTTATTTTACCTTTCCATAAAATTTTCTTAAATCTGTCTTATAAACGGACACCTGCAATCGCTGGTGTGCAATGGTGCGACGTTTCCACTGCATTCTAAGTATATCTTATTCAAAGAGGTCAATGCAAGACAGCTAAAATTTTCTGGCTGAAACGAAAACGCCATAATCTTACTTCTTCGACTGTAGTTTATTTTGTTTACTTACTCACTTAAGGCATTTACTTACATAGCAGAGTTACTGAAGTACTGGTGTTGCCGATAAGACGAAGGAAACTAAATTCAGTCAAAGAACAACAGAACTTAACTGATGCGCAGCAAAGTTTTTTAAAAGTAAATTACAATTTATCAACATATTTTGGAAAATTTGCTGAGCTCCGGCATTTCCTTGCTGCAAATATAATTCAGTTATATTTGTCGCAGCCATTTTTACCTTCATTTCTGATCTGCAATATAAAAAGCAAGCTGTTTACTTAATTTTACAAGTATAATTGCATTGCAGTAAATCGGAAAGTAGTAAATTTGAAAAGCTTAGAAATAATATTATATAGAAACGGATTCAAGTAGCAAATTCTGAAAGTTTGTTACTTTTTCCACTTTAGTTAAAAGTTTATAAATTTCAGAAACAGCTAGACATTCTGAAAATATCTGAGGGAAATAGCAACTACGCGGCTGAAAACAACAAATTTTTCTTAGCTTAACGGCGGTAAAGAGTTGAAAAGATGCAGGCATCAGCTCTTATGCAGAATATGGTCCAGAATATGGAGCCACCCTTCTCGGCAAAAACTGGTTTTATGTTTTCCAAACAAAAATTTTCAAAAGCGCAAAAAAACCATTACGGCTTTATTTTCATTTCTCTTTGGAAATAAGGCGGTCTCGAAACTATGGTTTTATTTCCAATCGCCAAGGGAAATAAAGCCATTATGGCCTTATTGCGTATGGTGTAATTGCGCCCCACCGTCCTCAACTACCTTAGGAAATTCAATAGCTTGTTGGGTGATCCGGGTTTGTGTACATAGGTGACTTCTTAATCCTGCTGTTGTTTACATCGCAACCTACGCCTGCCTATATCTCCATCGCCGGCATGCTCTTATTGTCTTCCGGGAAATATGCAGCGGCAAAGACGGTGTTCGTAAACGCTCCTGAGACGATATCGTCTGGATCGCTTAAAAATCTAGACTTAAAAATTCTGTAATTCACAAGTAAGCACAATGCACGCTCTGGTTCTCTAATTTATTATTAAAATCTCTTAAAACCATTACGTGACCTTTGTAGACCAACGGCTTCTGAAACCATTAGGTACGATACTCAGAACTAATGTTTATCTGGGCTAGGATTATATTTAGTGGGTTGGCTGGTAATTTTTTGCCTGGCGTATAGCTCGAGCTTGCAAATGTCTAGTCGGCCCATTAATTGCTTGCTCACTTCGCTGGGTGTAATCCTACTCCCAGGTGGGATCGGCTCTGCTCTTTTATTCATGTCGTTTCGTAAGATATCCCGGTCTATCTGCATCTTTTCCAATGCAGGCATGGTGTCTCTGGGTCCTTACCCGCGCTCCTCGAATGGAAGCCCGTCGTAAAACACAAAACATAAACGATTCTTTTGGATTATGCAATCCTATTTTATTTCCCGATATTTTAAGTTTCAATTATTTTACTTTATTTTCTAAACATCTACCCTTTTTATTTATTTGTAGCACGAAAACCGCTATCACGAAGATATTTTCGGTATAACCTCACACGCAGGGGAGGCGCGCAATAGATCAACTCTTCGACGGGGCTCGCGAACACTGAATGCTTTGTAAGCATACTTTTAACGCTGGATCACTGGATTTAATTAAGTGATTAAAAACTAAACACATCAAAAGCTGAGGAGTGCTGGACACTATTTCATTTTTCTGCACGGTCATGTTAGAAAATGTCCCATCAAATGCGTGACGCCAACTTAATGCCTTTCATAAAAATTAATATACACATATATATGTGTGTAAATTATTTTCATTTTACATATTATAAAATATCAATCATATCATTGCATTTACTTAAAATATTAATTTTATATTTAGATTTACATAAATGAATACTAAAATTATTAAAAACATTTGATACATAATCTTGTGTTTTAAAGATTAATATCTTAAATTCCTAATATTTTTTTTTCCTTTGTATAATAGTTATTTAAGAGATATCACTAACTTTTTATAATTATCGTTCGAACATGAAATACTCATCAGTTTTATACAAACATTTTTTATTATTGCCTCTATATATATAATATATTCGTACATATGTATTTCTACACATATTTCTGGTATTGCATCACAAATGTCAACGCAGCAATAAGCAAATAAAATAAAAATATAAAAAATATACCATTCGGTTTTGATTTGGGTATTTCCATGTTAAAGAAGAAAACGACATAAATTTTTAAATGCGCTAATTATCTATCTATTTTTTATTTGTTTATTTATTTTATTTTATTTTATTTTATTTTATTTTATTTTATTTTATTTTATTTTATTTTATTTTATTTTATTTAATTTTATTTTATTTTATTTTATTTTATTTTATTTTATTTTGTTTCATTTTATTTTATTTTATAT